AGCTCTCTGTGGTTTGAGTCTTTGCCTTGGCTTTACTCAGGGGAGCCAGGGATGGAACCTGGGACTTTCTGCATTTGGGGAGCGTGTGCTCAAAGTATGGCCCTTCCCCCCTAAAAATATAGCAAGATTCTAGTCCTCTTGGGTCTGAAGAAAGGTATGGATTAAATAGTAACACAGGAAGAAGCCTCATTGCTTTATTTCTTTTTAAAAAATGTTTAGGGGTACTCTCTCATTTTCCTACTCATATTGAAATATTGCCCCACAATGAGGCCAAACTTAGATGCACAAAATGTTTAGGGGTATGCGTACCCCTGCGTAACCCCCCCCCCCCCGAAAAAAAGCACTGAGAAGCCTTATACTAAGTCAGGCCATTGGCCCATCTAGCTCAGAAATCTCCATATTGACTTGGTGGTGTCATGTGGAAAATGTGTCTGTTTTGAGCAGGGATTTGAAGGACCTGAGAAGCAAAGTGACCCATATGAATTCAGGGATTGAGTGCCAAGCAAAGGAGACACACAAGGGTCATACAGATCTCTCCCCCCCCCCCCGCCCCAGAAGGTTATGGGCCCAGGAAACAAATAGATCCCATAATGTAAAAATATTTTGCAGAAATTTTTATTTCACTAAGTAATTTTTGAATTGAGGTTTTTTTTTTGTTTGTTTGTTTGTTTCCTGGAAGCCACAAGATGCCTTGCTTTGTTCTATTTTGAGAGGATTACCGTAACTCCCCACTCTTTCCTCTACCCCTTCCAATGCACCTAGACAGCAACTAGGCAAAAGAGCTTTATTTTCTTGTCGAGATTTTTGGTGCTTTATTCATTTTATTTTTGACACTTTTCCCTGTCATCATTTTTGTTCTTTGGGGGATCCCCCCTCCCCCATTTTTCATTTTTAAAATGAATAGCCAGAATTCCATAGCTGAATGAACTCCTGGAGCAATTTCATTCAGTGGAAAAAGTGTTTGGAAGCCAGACTGAGATTGAGAGGAATTTTAGAAGCAAAACCCAGAGAAGATGGCAACAGCAGAATGATCTAGCACTGTCTAGTATTCAGGATAGTATTTCAGATACTCATATGATTCACACTAACAGATGTGATACAGCTGCTCAGATAACTGAGAATTTGCAAAAGGCTTTTGGATTTACAAGTAATGTTCTCATTGAGCATGGAGGAAAGATATATTTAAATTAAAGCTTGAATCCAAGAAGGACTGTGACAATCAAGTGATAGAGTTCCTAGCCATTATTGAGAAGCTAGAACTTTCAGATTTCAAACTGGATGGTTAACTGAAAATTTGCTATTTCCTTGGGGTCACTAGGAAGAAAATTTGAAACTTTTGGCCACTCTCATGGTTGACAAACCAAGGTTAGCACTAACTGGTGTGACTGTGTACTTGAGAGAGGAGTGTGTGGAGAGAAATCTCTCCAGCCAGGAATGGAAAATTCGCTGAATCAAACTATGTGTCCCAGTCTCAGAGGACAGCCAAGGCTCCATCCAAAAGAGGTGTGTTTCATATGTAACAAAGAGAGACACATATATAAATTTTGTGAAGCCCCCAAATCAGCAAAACCCCCTTCATTTAAGCAACCAAGTCAAAATAAGAGGAGCATAAATATAAAGGAAGCAGTTTTCTGTTGCATGAGAAGAATCTAGCTGTAAACAGTTGTAATGTGAAATCTGGATGTTCTTCACATAAAAGTTATGATGAAGATACCTGTGTTCTCTTTGCTGCTGCATGGAATAACCCTTGAGTCAGAACTGTGGATTTTGTAAGTAAAGCTTATTAAACTTACTGAACAGTGTAGGCTATTCATTGTGAGGGGGATAGAAATGGGAAAGCTCTGTAAGCAAACTAAACAAGATAGATAAAAGGGTCTAACAGCCTATTCTTCCATGCTGTAAGTTAAAGGTAAAGGCATCCCTGACCATTAGGTCCAGTTGTGATCGACTTTGGGGTTGCGGCGCTCATCTCGCTTTATTGGCTGAGGGAGCCAGCGTACAGCTTCCGGGTCATGTGGCCAGCATGACTAAGCCATTTCTAGCGAATCAGAGCAGCACACGGAAACGCCGTTTACCTTCCCGCTGGAGCGGTACCTATTTATCTACTTGCACTTGACGTGCTTTCGAACTGCTAGGTTGGCAGGAGCAGGGACCGAACAATGGGAGCTCACCCCGTCACGGGGATTTGAACCGCTGACCTTCTGATCAGCAAGTCCTAGGCTCAGTGGTTTAACGCACAGCGCCACCCGCGTCGCTTCTTCCATGCTGTACTGCTACTTAACTTGCTGTCCCTTGCCATGGGGTTAGATTAATCCATCATGCCTGGACATTGTGATTCTCATGATGTGAAAAGCACAATGGATTGTGTCTATTTTCAGAAGCTCCACGTCCACCATGATTTTTAGTTTAGAGAAAAGAGGTGCAAGAGCTGATGCACTACAAGTTTATAAAATGAAGCCTGGCATGGAGAGACTGGGCAGAGAACCCCTCCCCCTTCTCTCTTAACACTAGAAGTCATGAACACCCAACGAAGCTGAATGTTGGAGATGCAGGGCGGAGAAAAGAAAGTCCTTCACACAGTAGAGAGTTAAACTATGGAACTCACTCCTACAGAATGACCAATGACTCAATGGCTTTAAAAGAGGATTGGGTGATGTCTATACTCTGCTTCTGAATACCAGTTGCTAGAAACCACAGGAGGCATTTTGGGAAACGTTAATAAGGTCCAGCTTTTGTGTGTGTCTGTTCCCTTCCTTACTGTATTTAGTGGGCTCTAAACCCAACTGGGATAATGAATCACCCCACTCTGAGTCTAAATGCCAAGCCATTCCTCTCGCTTCCTGCTCCTCATACCTCTGTGTCAGCAGATATGGGGGAGAGGGTTTCAGGTGTGTTTTTTGAGGGGGGTGATTATGCAGCAGCAGACATGCTATGATGAGTAGAAAGGTTTATGACAGTGTCTCATGGATGTTCCAAACTGATCAATTAGCACAGCTAATTCAAGCCCATCTTTCAAAGCCAGGATGCACTGGAAAGAGAGTATTTTATGACTACCTGGGCTTGGTCATGGAGTGGATGGTAGAAAATAAATAACCAGTCAATCCAGACATGGTGAGGGCACTCTTGGTAGCTGGTTGGCCTTCCCAGTTAGAAGGTGTTCAGCATGCCCTGAATAGGGTTCTACTCATTCTCCTTAAAGGAACAGGCTCCTTTCCTGGTGGTCCTCTGAGACCAGGAATAGGGAAACTCAGAATGTGCACACACACACATAATGATGCAGCCCTTAGTCAGTTCTGCACAGTATCACAGAATCATAAAATAGAATAGCAGAGTTGGAAGGGACCCTGCGGATCATCTAGTCCAACTCCCTGAAATGCAGGAATCTCAACTAAAGCATCCGTGACAGATGGCCATCCAACCTCTGGTTATAAACCTCAATGGAAGGAGAGTCCACCACCTCCCACGGGAGTCCATTCCACTGTCGAACAGCTCTTACCATCACAAAGTTATTCCTAAGGTTTAGCCAAGATCTCCTTTCTTGTAACTTGAAGGCATTGGTCCCACCCTCCAGAGCAGGAGAAGACAAGCATGCTCCATCTTCCATGTGACAACCCTTTAGATATTTGAAAATGGATATCATATCTCCTCTCAATCTCCTCTTTCCCACCCTAAATATACCCAGCTCCTTCAAGTGTTCCTCATAAGGCTTGGTTTCCACACCCTTTATCACCTTGGCTGCAGCTTGTCAATATCTTTCTTAAATTGTGGTGCCCAGAACTGGTGTGGTGCCCACAGGTGTGGCCTGACCAAGGCAGAATAGAACATTACTATTACTAACCTTTCATCTGCACACTATACATCTCTTGATGAAGCCTAGAATCCCATTAGTTGGTTTGTTTTTTTACTGCTGTATCACACTGTTGACTCATGTTAAGCTTGTGGTCTACTAAGACCACTAGATCCTTTTCACATGTACTACTTGCAAGTCAGGTGCCCCCCATCTTATATTTATGCTGCTGGTTATTCCTGGCAAAGTGTAGAACTATACATTTCTCCCTCTTGAAATTCATTCCATTAGTTTTGGCCCAGTTCTCCAATCTGTTAAGGGCATCTTGAATCCTGATTCTGTCTTCTGCAGCATTAGCTACCCCTCCCATTTTAGTGTCAATATAGGTATTGGACCTTTAGTGTGGTGGCATCTTAAGCTGGGCATGCCTCCTGGTGAGGAGGCGGCAAGCCCAAAAGCAATCACTCAACCAGAGATGCCTCAGGCAGCCTCCTCTGAATCTGCCATCAGCCATAACTGGGAGTGATAGATATGTGATGCTGATATATGGCAGATTGTCCATCCTTGGCAGAAGCTGTCTAGGAAGAGGACAAGCCCAGAGCAGAGACTCATGCAAAGACACAACTTGGAAGCCTCCCCTGGGTATTTATGCTGCATCTTTGTACTGGGAGTGCCTGTGTGATCCAATGGCACCTGGTGCAGAGGCCTATAACACAACTACTTGCCCACCCCAGCAGAAACTGACTGAAAGATGGGAAACGCATAAGCAACATCATCTCGTGCAGAGATGCATAGCAGCTTCCTCTGGCAATAAGCAATCCTATCGCTCTCAGAAATGAACACTCCAGCAACAGTAGAGATGTGGATTGAGAGGGTGAATATAAACCCAGAGCTGTTACTCATGCAGAGACACAATTAGGCTGTTAACATCTATGTGTCTCGGGAGACAATGGAGGAGTGTGCCTTTGGGGGTGAGGTCAAACTGTTGGAAGGTTGCAGCGCCCACTGTGGTTGTAGGCCAATATGGGAAAGACATGTTTTGTTGCAGCTGGGGCAGATGAATTTGTCCGGTTGTGCATATGCAGATACACCATGGCATTTCTTCTCTCTGCACTCCTCTCAGCAGTCTTTTCTCATTTGATCACTGCTATGGATACACAGCTTGACTGCCTCTCCCCAGGCACTGCGGTCGTCTGCAAGGGATTCCAACATGGCAGGGTTGAGGTTAGTGAAGCAGAGACACAACTAGACACACTTATCTAAAACTAACATTTTTAACACGTGTATTTATTTCTTGTGGCAAAATTGGCTATTCTTCAACGTCACTTTAGCCTTCCTTGGCCTGGCACACAGTTTTGGAAGAGTAGCTCTCCCCTGTTGTGTGATCCCTGCAATGACAAGAAACGCAGCAATCAGGGTCCCTGGTCCACCTGGAGACTTTCAACATAGCCTATTTAGCATAAGATGCAATCCTTTAGGAACATTTTCAAAGAACATCGCATGAGTTAGGTCTGATGCAACAATTTTTCCAAACCTTTATCTTTCCTCTCCCATAAGCAACATACCGTATTTCGCCATTTATTCCGGTTTGGCCAAGTGTTCATTCCTCCTTTCCTCTGCTATTATTTGTTCATCTTCCTGCTGCTGCTTCTCTCCCCCTCTCCCCCTTTCTCTCCCTCTCTTCCTCTCCCTGTGCCTGGCGGCTTATGAGAGACACTACGGCATGAAAAGATATTCGCTCAAATAAAGTTGGATTGAACTATATTATTGAAAAAGTGACCTCCAGTGGTCACTGGGACATTCACCCATCAGCTGCAGGCAAGTGAAAAAAAGCTATTGCCGGGGACTTTTTCAGCCTAAGGGGGGACAGTGCCACGGATGACCGCAATGTCCTCCCCAGTCAACACCCCCCCCATATATATTAATACTTAAAACACACACACACACACACACCAGAATTTTCAGTCTTGCAAAGGTGTATTTCACACAGGCAGCACTCAGTCCCCAGCGGCACATGGGTCACGATTGTAAGGTGTCATTCAAAAGGATCACAACACCTTTTATTCCACACACTCTTCCCCTCCCCACCTCACAACCCCCCACTGAAGCCCCATTCAGAAATCTATCCTTCTGGATAAGTGGCTGGTGGCTTATAGGAAACTCTAAAAAGGTAGTTTCAGAGGAACTGACTTGGTTCATGCCATGGGATCCACAGAAATCAGGGACGTGTCTTCTGCAAGAGGCCAGCATACTGACCAGCATTGTGGATGCTCAAATGCCCAGGAATCTGTGCTCTCAGAAATGAAATGTTTGCTATTTCCCTTCCAGAAGCGGCCATGATCCCATGCAGCGAGCCCCCCATTTATTCAGATAGTTCATATCATATTCTGCTAGATTGCCTTTGGAATTTACACAGCAGCCTTGTAAAGTAGGACACAGCAGTGCATGGAATGAACTGTAGATCAGTTTAACAAAGTTCACCAAATTAGTTTGAAAATCTCTGAATGATACCTAAAACCAATTCCAGTAATTGTGGAGTGACTGGGACATGAATTAAGTTTGTTTTGGGGAGGAGCTCTGAACAATTTCCAGTTCATCTTCAAGTTAATTATTTTACATAGGTTTTTTAGTCCTTTTAGCTTTAAGGTCATAATTGTTGGGGGAAATAATTGAAAACATGCACATTCCACTCTTCGTGTGTTTTGACGTTTTCTTAGGATGCTTTCAAACAACACTTTATTCCATCTTCCACATCTTCCGAGTTCCACATCTTAAGTGATCTTTCACATGGCATAAAACCACTTCTGGTTTGGAAGGTTCCATGAACCAGGGGCCATAAAAAGAAAAAAAGATTGATTCCATTTTCCCCCCCTGTTACTTTGAAAACCACTGTTATGTGTTTGTAGGGTGCCATACACCATGAATCCCTGGATTCAATAAAAATAGAATTAATCAAGGTTTGGGAAGTTAAACTGTGCCAAATTCTGAAGCCCATAAGATACAGCTAGGCAAGCCTGGTGATAGCTTGTTGGTCTTTAGGAGAACAAAGCCTAGTAATGGTCTGGGATATTAAACCAGAATATTAACATCCAAAGAATATGCTAGTCAGTAAATGGGTGGAGCCCCGTCTTGAGATGAGAGGCAGTTAGCATAACAAAATATGTATTTTATCAAAGTAATTGTTGAACTGAAATACCATTAAGAAGTAGTAAATTGGGGGGGGGGGAGCGGGGCCCTAAGCTATAGCTTGTTTAACTTATACGTAAATCCAGCACTGAGTCCAGCATCCTATTCTCACAGTGGCCAACCCTCAAGCAGGATCCAAGCACAAGAGCCCTCTCCACTCCTGCTTTTTCTAGCAACTGCTATCCAAGAAGCATTACTGCCTCTCTCCACTGTGGGAAGAGCATAGCCATCATGGCTAGTAGCCATAAATAGCCTTTTTCTCCATGATGTTGAACTAGATGGGCCACAGGCCTGATCCACCGGGGCTCTTATGTTCTTATTATTTCCATTGCTCACAAATTATTTAATTTTTTTATTTGTATAGCTTTATATACTGTTTAAAATCTCTACATGAAATGGTATAAAATGCTCATTTAAATACAGCAAAAAGCAGAATTTAAAAACAATAGACACAATAAAATTATGAAAATACAGATAAATTCAATATATTTTTAAAAACCAATGTGCACAATAGAATTACACATCTGGGTAGACTTGCCCGAACAAATGTGTTTTAGAAGGCATCAAAATCAACAGTACAACAATATCAATATGGAGGGAGTTCCTAGGCATGGCCACACATGCAAGAATAGATGCCACAGAGAGTAAGTGATGCTAAATTGTAGCTCTGTGTTGTTGGTATAATTTGGGAAATTGGGTGGAAGTGCTTGGTCCATGTCTTGAGCAGCCCATCCCCTTAAGAAACTAGCATCCATCTTGAACTCCTTTATAATAATAAAAAAGTTTTTCTGACCGTGGAATCTCACCCAGTAGCTCCTTAAGCTTTTTGAAATCAGCCTTCTTAAACTCAAATGTGCATGTTTGACTACTCAGTTTTCCCTTGCCTCTGTAATCATGAAACCCAGGAACTCACAATCACGTCCTCCCAAGTTTCCCAGTTCAGTCAATCAGTTCTTTCCCCCTGGTGAGGACCAGGTCCAAGATATGATTATCCCCTTCTGGGAAATGAAATTTTCAGCAAGGGATTGGAGGAATTTGTTGGACCTTACAGTCCCAGCAGATACCATGGCAGTTGAAGTTGCCCATCTCTACTGTAGCTCTCCTTTTTGAATGTTTAGTAATCTGCTCTAGGAAAGCATCACCCAAGTCTTCAGTCTGGCTTGGTGGTCTTTAGCAGACACCCACAGTAAGATCACTGCTGTTTCTCCCCTATGATTTTTACCCACATACTCTCAATCTGCCTTCCGTGCTCCAAGTCATGGATCTCTTCACAAGTGCACACACATCCTTGAACAATGGCAGGCAGCTTCCCTTAGTATATTTAAGGAGTTTAGGGAGTTTACTTGCATATTCCCATAAAACAATCATGACCAATACAAAGCGGTTCACAGATTAAAAGTTCACTCCTGACTTACCTGCTAGTGTTCTCTATTCCTGGGCTCTTTATCAACAGCTCATTATTGGGAAAATCCAGAGCAAAATGGAAGTGATGTGGGTTCTAATATGATTCAGAGCATGTGCAAGAGCTGGGGGGGGTGGAGTTCCTGTCAGGAGCAATCAGATATTTGAAGTGCTCCTTTTGGGGTGTCGTCCATGTCTACACCCACCTAAGACTCCTGGAGCAAACGATCACACTGTATTACACAGCAGGAAAGGCTGTCAGAAGGGTGTGTGAGTGTGTGTTGTTGGTTTTTTGTGAGAGCACGAGACCAGAATCCAGGAAACCAGGGGAGGAAATCATATGATAAGCTACATTACAGGGGTAATTTCAGCAGCAGCAACAAATTTTATTCTATGATCAAATAGGAATGGGTGCAGAATTCGGATCTGTTGACATCTGAAAGTGAACTCACTTCATTCACAATTGCCCAAACTCAGGGGTTGAGCACCAATAGCTATGGAAGAGAAATGGAGCCAAGAAAAGATAAAATGGAGATATTTATTAGCAGACTATGAGGAAACCAAATTATCTTTCTGATGTATAACTAAGGGGACCAAAACCAACAATAATCCATGCTCAGTGGCCACAGAATGCTGACTGACAAAGGGTGGGGGTAACAACAATGCAATGGAGTATCCTGGGAGAGGGTGGCTGGCTGACCCGAACACCTGAATAACACTCCACGCTGCAATATTTTGTTGCAACTCTCACTTTTTGTTGCTCTAACTTCCTTATAAAATTGAGGGCACGGGAAGGAAAACACAGCATTTCCGTTAATGAAAGAGCCTGCTTTGAAAACAAGAACCTAAGAAGAGCCCTGCTGGGTCAGGACAAAGGAGGCCCATCTAGCCCAGCCTCCTGTTCTCACAGTGGCCAACCAGGTGCCCAAATGGGAAGCCCACAAGCAGGACCTGAGCACAACAGCCCTCTCCCCTCCTGTGGTTTCCAGCAACTGGTATTCACAAACATTAAAAGGTAAAGGTAACGGGACCCCTGACCGTTAGGTCCAGTCATGGCTGCCTCTGGGGTTGCGGCACTCATCTCGCTTTATTGGCTGAGGGAGCCAGCGTACAGCTTCCAGGTCATGTGGCCAGATTGACTAAGCTGCTTCTGGTGAAACCAGCGCAGCACATGGAAACGGCGTTTACCTTCCCACTGGAGCGGTACCTATTTATCTACTTGCACTTTTTGGCGTGCTTTCGAACATTACTGCCTCCAAAAACAAGGTCTAAAAATATTTCTATTCCAGATTCAATGTTATGCTTTTAATTTTTAATTTTTTTAAAAAAATCTTTGTCACTAGTTCCCTTGGTACTTGTCCCAGTTACCCCCACCCCCAATTTATTTAGCTGATTAAAAAAAACATATATCTGAACTTTTGAGACTCAAAAGTTTCCTCCACAAACATTCCAGTTGCACTGGGGTGGTACAAAGTCAAAAATTTCCAATGCTAAGAGATGAAAGAATGAATGATGCATTCATTCATCTCTTAAAGACTGACAACTCTTGAAATAAAAGGGATGGAGAAATTATACTGATTTATGCAGCTTATATTATTACATATACTGGACATTCAGACACAATCACGTCTGAACAAATTGACCAACAAAATGCCTACTTTCAATTTTGTAAACAACTAGATAAAAAAGAAAAGGCTAGCTCATGTTATGACACATATACTTGGAAACATTTTATTCCTATCTTTAAAAAAATGCAGGTGAATATTTTTTGTTTTATTTGGTTAGGTTGCTTTTTTGTTTGCTTTTTTGTTTTTTATTTGCTATTTGTATGTGTTTCTGATTTTTTGATTTCTTGATTTTTGAAATAAAAAAGTCACAAATCACAGAAATCGGAAAAATCAAAAAATCAGGAAAAAGTCATTCAATGGTTTTTGTTTTATTTGTTTAGTTTGCTTTTTGTTTTTTATTTGCTTTTGTATGTGTGTTTTTGATTTTATGATTTTTTTGAATTTTGAAATCAAAAAATCAGAAAAATCAGACATCAGAAAAATAAAAAATCAGGAATAAATAAATAAAGCAAGTGAAGTCACTTATTTAAGAAAAGAATATTGTGAAGCAGAGGGAATGCTGGATTGATTAAGGTTGCAATTCTTCCTACTGGCAATGAAGCTCTAATTTTGTTTGTCTAAATACTTAAGGGAAATTAATGCCCAACAAGCAAACAGAACCACTGTAGATTTCTGGACCCACTCTACATTTGTGGTGCCTAAGACTATACATAATTGGCAAGCACCCTTTCAAAATCAGTTCTTTCATTTCAGCTATACTTGGGCAATGAGGTGAAATCCTTTGCGGGGATGGGAGAGAGAATTGGAGCTGCCATTCTTTTAATTTGGGGGCATTCAAAAAAATATGTATCTGTACAGGAACTTTATTTTTATTCTTATTACTACTAAACCCCTTGCCTCCAGGGCACACATCTCCAGTTGCTTTCAGCTGGTAACCCACACAGACACATACCCTGGTCTACTCCATGAACTCCTGCTAGAATCCCTTGCAAAGTCTACCAACATTTTGTTATGTTCTACACAATGATCTGTGTCGGAGGTTCTAGCCCACATCTTTGAAAAAGGCAGCGACTGGGTCCTGCCAGGCAGCCCTTTGAAAGAGGGATGTCAAAATAAAAATCTCATCCTGTCTCCCCAATTATAAGCTGTTTGACAATGGAACGGACTCCCTCGGAAGAAGGCGCAGGCTCGTTTTCTGCTGTTCTGGAAGGTAGGAACCAAACCAAGGGATTCAAATGACAAGGAAAGGAGATTCTAACTAAGCTTTAGCAAGAACATTCTAAAGGGCAAGAGCTGTTCAACGGGGGAACGGACTCCCTTAGAAGGTGGTGGAGATTCCTTCCTTGGAGGTTTTAAGTTGGATGGCCATCTATCCGGGATTCTTTAGTTGTGATTCTTGCATTGCATGGGGCTAGACTCAATGACCTTGGGGTACCTTCGAACTCTACAATCCTATGATTTCCTTCCAGCTTCAGGTATGCAAAAATGAATCTTCCAAAGTTTTGATAACTCATGGACTGCGGACTTTTGTCAGCCTTCTGAGGGCCACCTGCCCTTCTGAGGGCCACATGTCAACGAGGGTGGGCCATGTCACTGCAAGGCCAGCTCCAATCAAGCAACTCGCTCCAGCAGCTCCTGCTTGCAGGCTTCTCATAATAGACATCTGGTTGGGCCACAGTGAGAACAGGATGCTGGACAAGATGGGCCATTGGCTTGATGCAGGAAGATTCCTCTTATTCCCAAGCAAGAACCAGCTTGCAATATGCTTTTAAAAGCATCATGGCCGCACAGAGGTTTAATACACACACTTCCCTGGGAGGAAATGTATTTCATATAATCATAGAATTGTAGAGCGGGAAGGGACCCCAAGAGGCATCTAGTCCAACCCCCTACAAGGCAGGAATTACCCCTGACAGACGGCAGTCTGCTTAAAAGCAGCGTAGGATTGGCTTTCGTTCTTAGTTCCTAGAGTGCTTTCATCCCCGGAGCCTGCCGTGCAAGAGAGCTGAAACTGAGCAGCCAACTAGGGCCTCTGCATACCAGCAGGGGCACACACTGCGTGGGATGGGCCTGCTTTTGGAATAATAGGGGATGCTCTGAGCACACCTCTAAGGCTCTTCCAGATAAAGAAGAAGGGGAGTGGAGGATGAAACAAGCAGGCCTTGCTCTTTGATCAGGGTAAGGATGCAGCTCAGCAGCAGGCCATTGGCTTTGCATGCAGAGGTTCCCAATTTCGATACCCAAGAGCCTCTCCAAGCAGAGCTGTGAAATACTTTCAAGCCCTAGAGAGCTGTTGCCAATGAGTGCATGTGGTAGTGAGCAAGATGCAGGGGAAGGCAGCTTCCTGTGTTCAACATTCGGAACCATGAGGACTAGAATCTTGCTTTATTTTTAGGGAATGGGCAGCAGCTCAGTGGTAGAGCATCTACTTTGCACACAGAAGCCCCAATGCCAGGGACTGAGTCGGCAACCTTCTGCATGCAGAGCTGGTACCCTACCTTCCACGGAGCCAGGCTGTTGTTCCATTTAGCCCAGTCCTGCGGCACTGACCAGAGGTAACTCTCCAGAGTTTCAGGAAGTTTTTCGCCTGCCTTGCTTGGAAGGCCGGAGGGGGGCTGGACCTGGGAACTTCTGCATGCAAAGCAGGTGCTCTACCACTAAGCCAAAGCACCTCCCAGGAACAGAGGGGGCTGCTTTTTACCAAGTCAGACCACTGGTCCAGCTACTTCAGAATCCTCGCTACTAACTAGGAGACCTTCTGCATGCAAAGCAGCTGCTCTGTGGGGGGGGGGGGGATCCAAAAGTCCGATCCCTCCTTGCATCACTTCCCAAAGCTTCTTCCTCCTGGCTGGATCTCTTGCAGTTTTTTCCGTGGGCGAAGGCAGGCAGGCAGGCGGTTACGGCAGCCTCCCGGAGGCTCATTGATCGCCCAAGGGCAGAACCAACCAAACCAAAAAAAGGGGGGATTTATTAATTTGGGTTCTTTCTTTCTTTTTTTCTTTCTTTTTTCACAACTCACATTTCTTGCTCTGAAAAGCGTGTTCGGCTGACGCGGAGGCTTCTCTAAGGCCCAAAGTGCAAAGCCCAGCCCGGCTGGCTTCCTCCTCCCCCGCGGCGGCTCCTGCCCATTCCCGCCGGATCCCCCCACGCTCCAGATGTAAAAAGGGAGGCGCCGTGAACGGGCAGAGACTCCCCGCGGGCAGTCGCGAGGAAAGGGGTGGGGGCGAAGGAACTGCAATTCCCAGCATGCCTTGCTGCTCGCTTGCTATGGCAAGCCCGGAGGAGAAAGACCCCCCTCGCTGGGGATTGTAGTTTTTTATTGATGAGGGTGATTTTGCTGGGAATTGTAGTCTTTTATTAATGTTGATTATGATGGGAATTGTAGTCTAGTTATTATTATTAATAATAATAATTGTAGTTTATTATTATTTTGCTGCCAATTGTAATCTATTCTATGATTCTGCTTTTATTACGGTGTTGGGAATTGTAGTCTGTTATTATTATTTTGCTGGCAAGTGTATATTATCATTTTGCTGGCAATTGCAGCCTATTGGTAATTAATATCAATTTGCTGAGAATTGTCGTCTGTCATTTATTATTATTTATATTATCATGGCAATTGTAGTCTCTTATTTATCATGATTATTATTTTGCTTGCAGTTGTGGTCGCCGTCATTATTAGTATTATTTACACGTGTGCGTGCGCGCGCGTTTTTAAAGTTCACCCCTAGAGGGGAGCGCCTCCTTTGGGGGCGGGGGGCGTCGGAGAAGGGGCGCCGAGAGGGCTCATGCGTTGCAACGCCGTGCAATTTAATTGCACCCCTTCCTCTCCCCCCCCCCCACCCCCGCGGCTCATCATTATCTCCAGCAGGATCGAAATTAGAAGACGGGGGGGGGGGGGGAGAGAAAGAGAGGAGGAGAAACAGCTGCATTTCCCATTAAAAAGGGAAGGAGCGAGGTAGGCAGGCTTTTTAACCCTTCTTCTCCCGCAATTTTTAACACCCCATGGGCTGGTTTGGGTAGGTATATTTGCGCTGTTAAGGCTGTGATCCCTTCTGCAGACTTAAGCCACACTGAATTATCCGTGGATCTTTCTTTTTTCACACCGGGTTGCATGCCTACGATCTTATTAATATTTACTTCGGAGTAAACATCCGAAGTAAGCTTACTCTGGAGGTAAACATGCCTGAGACCAGACTGCAGACCACCATTCATTTTCATTACTATATGATTTATACCCCACTTTTCCTCCAACCAGCTCTGTGGTGGCTCTTCTCCTCCCCTCCATTTTATCATTGCCCCAGCCCCTTGAGGAAGGCTAGGCTGAGAGGAAGTGGCTCAAGGTCAACATCCAATGAGTTTCATGTTGCTGAGTGGGAGGATTTGAACCCTGGTCTCCGATGTGCTAGCCCAAGACTCTAATCACTACGCTAATCCACACAGCTGTCTTTGGAACGAGCCTGCCCAAATGTAGTGGGTTTTATTTCAGGGTAGACAATAGCTTGGGTTGGGTTGTAACAAAACCCACATACATTGTCGTAGGCTGGGGGGGGGGGCAACTCCCCAAATCAAGTAAATAAATAAAAATAACCAGTTGCATCACAGATAACTTGGGTCTGCCCCTCCTCAATATAAAGCCTGCCCCCCCCAAAAAAAAATCCTGGCTATGCCCATGGCCACACAGCTCCATGAATGAATAATTTGTTGTTTAATTAAATGGCCAAGGGAAATATTGCAAAGTATCAAAAAGTTCTTAAATATGAATTATCCTTTCTTTTCAGCAAGACTTAAGCCGAGATCCTTATGCCAGCCTGTATATGTACTGGATTTGAAATTGTTTTGAGGTTTTGTTTTTCATATATGGGATAGCTTTTAATCATATATTTATCGTAAGTTTATTGTTCTAACCAAAGGCCAGGACAGACTTGAAGCAATGGTATTAATATAACACAGTGGTACCTTGGGTTACAGATGCTTCAGGTTACATACGCTTCAGGTTACAGACTCCGCTAACCCAGAAATACTTCCTCGGGTAAAGAACTTTGCTTCAGGATGAGAACAGAAATCACGTGGTGGCAGCGCAGCGGCAGCAGGAGGCCCCGTTAGCTAAAATGGTGCTTCAGGTTAAGAACAGTTTCAGGTTAAGAATGGACCTCCAGAACAAATTAAGTTTTTAACCCGAGGTAACACTGTAATACAGAACATGCTCACACTTGGCTCAGATGGGTTCAAGGAGATGGGTGCACGGTGGGGTATAGCTACCACTACCCAAGCCTCTGACCCCCACTACGACACCCACTTTCTGAACCAGGGCCTCCCAGGGCGCATGTCAGCTGCCAGTTAGGGGGGTGGGACCCAGCCAGGGCACCTCTGGTGACAACCACAGCACCTTCTGACCCCCTGGAAGGATCCCAGAACTCCTCCTTTCTATTTTGTTCCTCTCCCACATCCTGGCTCCACTGCCAGAAGTTGAGAGGGGACCCAAGGCAAACCCACCCACCCTCTGGGCAGGGTTAAGGTTGGGAGTGGGAGTGGCTTTTCTGATCCAGATGTTTAGGTGAAAGGGGAGCCTTGGCAGGGCATCCCTGCAGGGCTGGCCCATTTGTGGAACTGGGCACAGAAGCCCATAAAAGAGAGGACAGTTTGGCATCTCTCAGACTGGGCAGTCAGTTCTAGTTGCTGTCTGTGGATGGCGCCTGGCCTAACATTAGCAATCAGTAGTGAGAGTCTTGAATTGCAGGGGGTTGGCTAGATGGCCCTTGCAGTCCCTTCCAACTGTACAATTCTATGATCCGTAATATAAGCCAACATACATGATGTAAGAGACAGAAGACAACAGTGGCTCCAACAAGTTTAAATCTAGCTTGATGTCAGGTTAAACCTCCAAAACAACCTGTAGTGATTTCTTCTTCAATTACAGTGGTACCTTGGTTCTCGAACTTAATCCATTCCCGGAGTCCGTTCAACTCCCAAAACTGTTCAAAATCCAAGGCGTGGCTTCCGATTGGCTGCAGGAGCTTACGAGTACCAAGGTGTTTGAGAACCAAGGTACGACTATTATTATTTGGTAACTGGTACATAGAGGACCACTCTGTGTGTTACAAAACTATTATTGCCACTCACAAGAAACTGAACCACTCCCATCAGGTTGTACCTGCTTGTGCAAACAAAGGTTTCATAAATTGTTTGTACAGTGGTACCTCGGGTTACAGACGCTTCAGGTTACAGACACTTCAGGTTACAGACTCCACTAACCCAGAAATAGTACCTCGGGTTAAGAACTTTGCTTCAGGATGAGAACAGAAATTGCGTGGCGGTGGCGTGGCGACAGTGGGAGGCCCCATTAGCTAAAGTGGTACCGAACAGTTTCAGGTTAAGAATGGACCTCCAGAATGAATTAAGTTCTTAACCCGAGATACCATTGTAATTGTTTTTACATACAGAGGTGTGATTTTTTCCTTGTTGAAGTTTTTTGTTTTTTTTACTGTGAAATTGATTCATGGTATTTTAAAGGAAGTGGTTCATAAACAGAATATTAAAATAATAATAATTTGGGAGGAGTGAGGAGATTCCCATTTGAAGCTGGCACTTTGAAAATATTACATACACGCACACATTTACACAGAGAGAGAGCTCTATGCAGAGTGGCACCTAGAAATTTGAAATAAAAATTCCACCTCAAATCCAATATATTAGATCTACTCAGAAAGGCTGTACACACACTACACATTTAAAGCACATTCTTCACCCCAAAGAATCCTGGAAACTGCATACCCTTAACAGTGCTCCTATTCCCAGCACTCTTATCAAGCTAGTTCCCAGTATTGTTATTGGAGGAGAGAATGTGATTTAAATGTATGATATGACCCAAGGCCTATTCAGAATATACCCACATATATTAATGAACCTAAGTTCGTCATGTCTTTTTATTTATAAACATATTTCTACATCTCTATTCATAAATTAAAAAATTGACAGTTTTCCAACAGTCATACCTAAAACCATACAGTAAAAAACATATAACATTCTAAAATCAGAAATCAGCTATTCTGGAAATATGTATTCTTTTCATTGCCTGTATAAGCCTAAAAGAATAGAAAAGTTTTCAGAGGTGTTTAAGCATTAAAACAGAAGGCACCCGCTCAATCCTCTGTTGGCAGAACATTTCACAAGACTCTGATAACCACCAAAGAAGCATTATTTGCAACTCAGAGCAAAATTGGCTAATCTGCAATCTTCCAACTGATCCTGGATCTATATTTCCCATCTCCCCATCCCACTGATTATGCTGTTTGGGGCTATGGCCAACATGTGGAGGTCCATTCTGCAACATTTTGGTGGGATTTTACTTCTTTTACATCTCCAAGTGAAGATCACACTCATTTACCCATTTCTAGGCATCAAATTTGGTAATCAGAAAAACCCCTTCATATTGTTTTCCTATTCATTCGTTTTCTTTCATTCGTTTGATACATTTCTATCCCACCTTTTTCTCCAAGGTGGTTCTCCCCCTCTTCACAACAAGCTTGTAAGGTAGGTTTGGCTGAAAGGAAGCAACCTGCCCAAGGTCACACCCAGTGAATGCTGTGTCAAACTGGGGATTTGAACCCTGGTCTCCCAGGTCCTAGGCCGATACTTTAATCCCTATGCCACACTGTCTCTCCCTTATGCAACACTCACTGGAATAAGTACTGCTTCCGAAACCAGGACAGTGAAATCTATCGGTTATTTCCAGTGGAGTCAGGTGCCCATTGGTGGTGCTGGTGGGAGTCAGAAAGCCCAAGGGCCACTGATGCCAGAGCCAGTGGTGGATGGAGCCAATGAGTGGAAGAGCTAACCACTGGCGGAGGAAGAGGCATGTGGGGGGAGCGGGGTGCCATCGCTGCGCTGGGCACCACACCCCTACGGGTGGCACACCACACCCCCCAGCGCTAGGCACCACACCCCTACGGGTGGCACACCACACCTCCCAGCGCTGGGCACCACACCCCTACGGGTGGCACACCACACCCCCAGGACGCACACCACGCCACACCCCCACCTGGTCTCTGCCCCGCACCACCTCCCCCCCCCCCAGTGCCGGAGCATAAAGATCCACCACTGGAGCTAATTAATTCCAGTTTTGTCTCATAGCTTTTCTGCAAGCGACAGCCCTGAGACGGAGGAGGAGCAGGAAACTGAACCCATTGCAATGCCCTAGATTGGTTGTAAATAAGGAGGTAGGAAGGTGGAGGCTGGCTGAGGGTAA